TAAAAGTAGATCAATCTGCGAAAAAACTAGGAAGTTTGAGACACTTCCAGCCAAATTGCGAGACTCCAGATGGATTATGTCATTTCAATGAGATTCAGATATCAAAAAGAACGACGTCTCTTAAAAAGTGTCTACCGCCTTTTCATTTCAAGAGAATCGCGGCAGCATGATCTTTCATGAAATATATAGGTTGTAAAGCAAAAATACCTGACTTTGAAAGGGTGGAAGAGAAATTTTTTTGCGATTCTCAGAACGTCCATCGGACGCTTTGATCTTATTATACCTAAGAATGCCTTCAAAACATGCTCACCCACCCTTCACAAGCTCGAAAAGGAGTTCAATGTACACTAATGGATAAAGAACTGTTCAAAATACATGCATGCCAAAACCTTACCATATGCTGTTTTTCAAGAACATTTTGAGGAAAGAAAATTCAGATTTCACGCTTCCCCTGCATTTTACTTCGATTATTTCCTGCCAAATAAATGAATACGTATTACATATTAAACAAAAGGAGAGGTTCTTTTCTTCCTCTCTTTAATATATAACCTGTATTCTATTTCTCTTAGTGTATACCTCAATCAAAGACATCGTTATAAAATTATTTCAGACTCAAGAAAAGGTCAAAAAAATCTATTGAAATCCTGTAATATGATACTATTTTTCAATCATTACTAACAATTCTTATATAAAAACAACTTTTCTACATATAAATTTCCATAAACATGATATTACGCATATACTTTGGAAATGTGAATATATCGTGCTCCTTTATAGCCTCCTGCTTTGTATTCGGAGGATGATATGCAAATGAGTATGCAAGAATGTTTCTTCCTTTCTCAAACAAATCAGTACCTTTTTATTTGATCCAAAGTTAAGGGAGAGTGAATTTATTCTCCTCATTGTAGCATGCGAGTGCAATGGGGTGCAGCCAAGAGAAGGACGAAAATCCTAATTTTTTTGTTTGAATTAATAATGACAAATGTTTACAAGCGTATTTCTGCTTTACGTCGTTGTTGCACCGTCTGTTTTTAGACCATACACAAAAGTGAGCTTCCAGATAAATCTTTGTAGTAATTTAGAAGCAAACATAAAACGTCAAAGCGAAATTGCTGTCAATACCCCAGTTTGAGTATGGGCCACTTTCAGGAGAAAACTTCACTGCAGATATGTCTTACTCTATGACTATCACCTAAAGGTGAGTTTGATTTTGAAGGGTTGCAGTCGGTATACCTGTACAGTCTTATATTGTTTGTTATCGCGTTGATGTGATCTTCTTCTAAGAACTGGTAAGCAGCTACATTATTTGCATTCACTATTTGTCCTCTTACCTTAGTTTAGCTTTCACCAATTTCTGACATACCCTGAAGTTTGTCTGCTTTAGCGCACACTTCTGCGTAGATAAGCTGCAGAAGGAGGAATCCGAAACTAACAAGATACCTGAGGAACACAATTTAGCTATGTAGGCATATTGTAGTAACGTGAGAAAGAAAGAGCAAACAATTAAACCCAAGTCGACCAAGTGTTGGTGTGCCTGAACACCAGAAGGCATGCTTGGAGCCCTCAGAGTGATAGGTATACCGACTGCAACGCAGTTGATTCGAGGTTTTTTTTTCAAATGTGAATGTGATAAAACATTAAGATGTAATTGCAATCATGTCCTTGCAACACGTGTTTGTTTCTAGATCTGTGCATTTAGATAGTTCATCTTTTTTCCCATACTCAGGTCTTTTGCTGAAGAAGGTCAATTCCGTGTTTGACATAGCTACAGATGATTGAATCTGCAAAAGCGAAATGAAGCAAAACTACAGCTTGTAAACATTTCTTTACAAGGTCCTAACAAAATTTGAAATTCATCCTCCTTTTGCCGGCACCTCGTTTGGGCACACATTGGGAGGTAGGCTTAGCCCTCCCTCCTTCTTCTCCTCCTCCCTTGATTTGGATCAAATGAAAAGGCACTGATTCACTGAGTAGGAAGGAACGATCGTGTATACCATTGCAAGTTCTCCGCCGAATACAAAAACAGGAAACTATGATGGAGCATGATGTAAAAGAAAAGTTTTCAGCATCAGAATGTTTTACAAAATGTGGGGAGTAAACGCGCAAAATCACGAGAGCTTGACAACGATCCCGTAACTTGAGCAATTCCCGAATGAAAAATCTTTTTTTTTCATATGAGAACTATATGTAAGTATTAAACCATAAAAACATTTACGTAACCAATTCTTCAATTAGATTTTACAAGTATTTTGCCGAAACCCGGTCGGCAAAATACTTGTAAACAACTGACACACTAACATGCCCCGGTTCAAGGATGAAAGAACATGGGAACTATCTTCAATTAGACATAACAAGCCTTGTTGAAGCTAATGTATGTTGAATATCTCACAGCAGAGTTTACCGAACTTTTTGTCAGTGCGCCTTCACAACTGAATTTGAGATGGGTTGAGAGAATGAGAATTCTTGTCGTACAGGCA